TCCCATCGGTGTAGTTACCGATGATTAGATCTGGATTTCCTTCCATCATTTCAATGATTTTGCAAGAAGCATCCTAATATTTATGACAGACTGAGATTCAGCAAACATCTTTTTACACAATGTATTACGGAGTATTTCAAATGGATGGCAAGCAGATCCAGATACCTGAGTAAATCTCTCAAGGTAAGGATAAATGTCAAATCTAGAAACCCATGGATTAAGTACTCCATCTTCTGTCCTAAATGGCACTCTAAGGATGTGAGAATGTTTTGTATTGAGGATTGGTTCGAGTTCCTGGTTGCATTTTGTTCCCTTTGCATCTGGGATTTGTCGGGTTACCTTACAACCAAGAACAGAAAAAGCATTTAGCAAACCGAGCATCAATTGCAACAAAACTTCTCACCAATGTTATGCCACTCACCACAAGTATTTGAGGCTTGGCATTAAGACCTTGCTGTTTAATTCTAAGAAGCAATTCCTCTTCCAATGCTACCACTTGATCCAAAACATAAACAACCTATATGCATCAGAAGAAGAAACCAAACTCAAACAACACGTCTGGTTCATAGAATCAAGTCGTTTTAGTCACACAATTATAGCATGTGCTCCATCTCAACTAAATGCCTAAGCTGATAGTTGGTGGGACACGTGGACCGTAGTCGCACCTTTGGCATAGCTCTGATACCAAATTGAAGCATGTGCTCCATCTCAACTAAAAGTCTAAGCTGATAGTTGGATTGCACATTAATGGCTATATGCTCAACACACAAATACAAATACCTACCTGCCCACCAGTGTCGGGCATGCCAAGCACGTCTGCCTGTCCAAAGTACCCGTGGACAGAAAATAGTACGACATTGAACACCGTTGGGAGCCTGCTGAAGAATTTCTGTGTGTTCAATGGATCAGGTGCCTGAAGCACCTCAGACAATGTTCTCATTGTATCCAGGACTCTTTCAGCAGTATCACCCCATCCCTTCTCGAAACCCCACTCTTTGAACCTATTAAACATGAACCATAAGATTTCCAGCCTATCTGAAATCAGGGAATTGAATAGAGACATACAAGTTAATTTTACCTCAGCTCAAAGCTCTGGTATGGTGTATCTTTGGGCAGCAGAGAGAGGGCTGCATCAGCTACAACAAGCGCAGTTTGAAGCTTCTGGACAGTGTTGATGGTCTCATTTATCATGAGTTTCTGCAAAGCATAAAGAAATTTTCTTTGAACATTTGCCATGCCACCTCTCCTAAGATCGTTTACAATAGTATCTTAATAAGGTTTAGTCTTTTCCAACATACATCTCCTTGGTGATTCAAGGTAAGCAAGTAATCCACAAGAGCCTGTGCTAGCTCTGATTTAGCATTTAGCTTTGTGCTCAGGAATTTTGCCACATAATCGAGCCCATTACCAATCGAAGACGACAGAGTTAAGTGAGGAATTGAGAAATCTATTGCTCCAAAATCAATTTCCAGTGCATTGTCATCTTGTGCCCTGCAAAGCACATGCCCAGAAGTCCTATCAACCTTCCCAAACAATTTAATGGTATATAAGCAGACAGAAAGTAACAAGCTAGAAGGGAAGGGAAGGTAAAACACATACCAATCATCATCCACAATCATTTCTTTGAATTTCAAGTAATCTGTAGCTGAAATCCCCTCAACAGATAGATCATAAGCATTCACTTTTACATATTCCCAGAATCCAGGATTTTGTCTGGTGGCAAAGGCAATATGTGGAGGAACAACAGCTGCTTCCTACAAAATTCCATTCATAGAGTTTTTTTCAAAACTAAAGCACACATCTTCCCGTGGGTGTGCACCGGGTAAATCCCACCTCCTTGTGCCCCAAGCTGGCAAAGGACCATAAGGAGGTAAACCAGCCTAGGTTGCCCATAGTTGACCGGCTCAAACCAAGAGGGCTGGGATTCGAACTTGTAACCTTGTGGTTATTACAAGTTTGTATTTTTAGCCATCTTAGCTAGTGCACACATCTTTGTTTGTAGAAATACTAGAAGAAGAAACAAATAGGTATAAATGCAGTAAAGCAGTAAATTTTGGGATTCTAGAATACCATTGTAGTGCAGAGAACGTAGCCAAGCAAGCCTTGCAAGAGTTGGTTCCTCTCAACATGATCATCTATCACTTTCTCCATCTCCTCCATCAAATGCTTGAGTTTCATCACTCTCCTCCCTTTTTCTATGTACTTGGCAAAGCACCTTTTCATATGGTACCGGCTTTGCCTTAACGCCTCCGGCATGCTATCAGCTATTGACTCAGACCTCTTCAACATGGGTGCAGCAGTAGCAGCCATTGGATTGTTCAGAGAGATTAAGTTGTAAATATATCCACAAAAGAATGATTTGAATACTGGTTTTGTAATCTTTGTGTGGTTTCCATGGGATTTATAGATGAAATCGCTAAATAATCCTTGTTTTTACAATGCATGCCAACCAGGTTGGAAATGGATTGAGTCAAGAAAAGTTGTAATGTGTGAGGAGGAAAAAGAACAAATCTTTCTAGCAATGGAGTGGCAAAAGAAAGGAACATTTGGCATGCAAGTGAGATTCCTAGTTGGAAGCAAACGTAATCTTTTATTTGTGACATTAGATCGACTAGGTGGTGGGCATGGCCATTATTCTTTTCTTTATTTGGTGCAGTGAGGATATTCTTTTGACCAAAAAACATGACTTTGCACAGAAATCCTATCCTGGGAGGAAATGGATATATGAAGAAGATATAATCCTAAACTTAAGACTTGCCAAAAACTCAATTTCACATTTTGTCTAATTTAATTAACACCACTACTGTTGAAGCTCGATCTCATAATTTCTCATATAGAAGAGTCACTGTCTCATTATTATTCAACCATTTAATTTTAGGTGGCTATGGTTAAAAATTAAAAATAGAGAAAATTACACTTTTGGTCCCGTGAGTATAGAAGTCTTGTTAAATTAAGTACTTGACTTTAAAAATTAACAATTTAGTCTCGTAACTATGCAATTTTTAACACATTTGATCCTCCCAGCCAAATCACTGACAATGTCGCCGGAAAAATGTAGATTATTTTTAATTATTTAATTATGAGGACAAATCGGTCATTTCATGTCATTTCACCAAGCCACTTGGTTGTCCCTTGTTTTTTCAATGTTGGTCTAAGATTAAAGTCTCCGACGGATCCTCAGTCTTGCGGGAGCGTGTCAAGCCTATATGTGGCTGATATTATTCATATTCACAATTTACATACTTAATATTTACAATTTACATTTTATAAAATTGTGAATATTTAATATGTAAATTGTGTATTTTGAATCGTGATCTACTGCGAACATATATACTACTCCGTAGTTGCTTGTTAGTTAAACGGTTCCAACTCAGTGATTTTGGGCTTTTGGCCCATTTTGACAGCTAGCCCTGCGGCCAGCGCTGGACCGAAAATGGGTACTAGGGTTTTGGGCCAAAAACCCTAGCGCAGTGCTTCTCGTATCCTATTACCTATATAACCCCGTCTCGATCTTCTTTCTTCTCACTTCTCTTCATCCAACCATAGTTTAGGCCGGCTGACTACATCTATCAATCTATTCAATTCTGGTTCTAAGTCTTGGTTGATGCTGTGATGGTCACTTCGTTTTTATCCTTTTATTTTATAAGGCAAAATGTGAAGGAGTTGGAAATGATGTTTATTTCCCCAGATGATCGAAGCTGAAATATCTGTGCGCTTTTTTTGTTTTTCTCCTCAAGGAGAAATTCCAAGCCAGATTTTCTGATCCTTCTCTTCATTTCAAATCTCATTTTTATAATCGTAAATTCTTCTCTTTTTTTTGTTTATAATTTTGAAGTGGATATGATGATTATTTCCCCAGATGATCGAAGCTGAAATTACTGAGCGACTTTTGTTTCTCATTTACGAGAATCCAAGCCAGATAATCTGATCCATCATAATTGATTTTTTGCTCATCTTGTTGAATGTATTCTATATTTGCATCTGATTGGTTTTTCACGTTTGAAAGCTTCTGTATATTTTTAGGGATAAAAAAACCTAATTTTCTTCTCACCTAACAAATTTGCATTAGGCAAATCAAAAATTTTCCAATTCATACTCCCAAGTGCAGCTAAACCATAGCCTCGTTAATCCTGCTACTACTGTTTTTTGTTTTAACTTCTATAGAAAACATATTGTCTTGCATGTCTTTGTAAGCAAGTCAGCTTCTTGTTCGGATTTCGATTGTATTATCACGATCTGAACAATTGTTTTACTCAAAACTTGCGATATGAATCCCAGTATCACTCGCCTGAATCTGAATTCTTGGACTGATGCTTCAGGCCCTTAGTTACTGGTACATTTCTTCATTTGATGACTTTCGTCAAACTAGGGTTGCATCTAGCAAATTGGTCATGGGTGACACAAATGAGAAGACGAACGCACTCTGTTCCTGTTATAAAATAATTAAAGCAGAAAGTAATGTTATAACATTCTTAAAAAGATAATATAAGAAGAAAGTACATGAAGTTAAATCAAGATCTCCACCATATGCAGGCAACTCATGTAGTAGGATGGAGAAAAAGTTGTGTTTTTATTTTACAAATTATTTTAATAATTTATAATTTTAAATAAAAAAATAAAAAGAATTAAAGCATAAAGTAATATGTTAAACTATCATTTTGACACCACACCATGGTATCATGGAGCTCAATGTAATTACAAATATTGACAGACTAAAGTAATTACACCACTTTTTTGGTTGTATTATTGTTTAAAAGTTTTTTATTAAAATATATTTTATTAAAGAAAAATAAAAATTAATTAATTTGGTAAATGTCATATCATTTAATTGGTAAGGGTGACAGAATTGGCAATTATAAAATGTAAACATTACCATTTTCCATTAGAATACGGCCCCTTCTCAAATGGGGTGTGACAGGACGACCTAACTTAATACGGAGTATTTGTATCTCAATTCCTTTTCGCAAACTTAAGCGTTAAGGTGTCAACAAAGAAATGCGTTGCGTGTTGTCCATCTCAGATGAATATTTATTCCAACTTCCAGTAAATAAGATATCAAATCATGTACAACTTCTGGTAAGATCCACCAGAAAATACATTTTGCCAACAATTTAACATATACACAATACACTCTTTAAATTCTAAAATATAAAGGGCGGGCATTGGGTAATCCGTTGCTGAAAGATGTACACAACTCCATGTTTGGGTTCTTTCTTGTCCTTAATTGCTTATACAAACACGACATCCCTCCCTGCGCAATAAGAATTAGTTTCAGATGTTATTTAGTTCATTAATGTAAGCGATTGGAACCTTATGCAACAAAAGCGTTGAGATAAGTAACATTTCCCAGGCCAGGCCAGTTGATTCATAGAAATTAAGATTAGTCGATGGAAGTGGCCTTCAAAAATTATAGAACATAGATAATACTTTTTTAACTGAATGGTAAGGAAAAAAAAAAAAAAAGTGGACAAAGTAGAACTCCAAAATCTAAAACCTAATCTGTCTAATGAATAATACTATATTCATAAAACCTAATGCGTCTTCCACTATAATATTGGAGGGGGAAAGGGAAAATAAAATCTTGTAATAGATAAATTAAGCATTTGAACAATACTTAAGTACAGCATGATGCTCTGGTTCCTCTGGCTTGTCCGTCAGTAAGTGTCACCCCTGCTGGATTTTGAACAGGTTGAGCTCTGGGCAACCTCTTAGCTGAACAAATACAAATATTTATTCAGGGTAATAGTTACATGGATTGCAACATAACTAAATGTTTGTGCACAACCAAGAATCAAAATCAACAGAATAAGGCAATAACATTTCTGATACTTTCTGCTATTCTGACAATACTTAAATGAGAAGGTGATTTTCTTATAAACAACCACATGATTGCCCTCAGTTGCAACAGGGAAACAATGTAAACATCTACAAGGGTATAAAGTATTTTACTCCATTTAGCTGAGATATTAAAACATAGACTTGAGTGCGGAACAAAACATGCCCTAGGCAAACATAGCAACAAAAAGTATAAAACATACCTATTTCATAGAAAATATCATTAACGTTAAGAGCTGTTTTTGCAGAAGTCTCCATGAAGAAAAGAGCATTTTCCTCGGCATATAAGCGTGCCTCCTGCAAAATAATTCATTATTCTATTTGAGGAAAACCAAAGCCCAAAAGTATGATAATGGGAAGGTTCCAATTAAAGGACAAGAAAAATAAGAGGGTAAGACAAACTTACTTCAGCAGTCACCTTCCTTTTGTCTTCCAAATCAGCTTTGTTCCCAGCAAGTGCAACAACCATGTTTGGATTACCTACAAGAGTAAGAAGTTATCTGTAACTATTGTCCTATTTAACTGGGGGATACCTCAAACCTATGGATACAAAAAGTTATTGTAATAAAATTAAACAATTCTAGGGAATTTTCAGTTGGCCACCTAGACATTATGTTTTAAAACAGACTGAACTTTTTATTAACAAAGTTGTCCACAGGGAAAAAGGGAAATTGGCATTTTCAATATATACATGGATAAGCACCTTGTTTCTGCAATTCTTGGACCCACTTCTTTGATCGTTCAAATGAATCCTGTTTTAGTTATTTAAAAACAAATGAAAAAATTCTAATGAATCAGCAAAACCAAAATTAAGAACATGTCATCCAAATTCATAGAGTACATGGCACAGAGACTATTACATGAATAATTACTGTGAAGTCAAATGTCCAAACAAAGAAGGGGAGCATGAAGGAAGAAGCAGAATGGGCTTATTCAACTTCAGTATACTGATCCAATGTGAATGGTGGAGCAACTTAATTTAATGCCACGTTATAATAATCACAGTAATAAAAAATCATGTCGTTCTGTGTTGTGTCCCCTTACTTTTTGAAAATCACATACACTCTTGTTTATGTTGGAAAAACACACATATTTGTATCCATGCTTCATAAACCTCCCACCCCCAAAAACACAAAGAAGAAAAAAACTCCTATTTGATAAATCTATCCTGAAGCTTCCATTATTGCCTAACACTCCATGCACAGGAGAAATAAACTACAGTGAGATAAGGAATCTGCACTCTCTGGTGAACTATGGCATTATCAGCTGAGTAGTTTCTCTGAAAAACCTTCTGCTTAATCAGAACACTACACATTTTAACAAGTTTGTAATTTTGTCTCTAATCATCAAAAGTATCAACCTTCAATTACAACTTCTCTTTATCTCACATCCACTTCCACATCTTCCACACAACAAAACACTTCTTCTCTCATAATAATGCAATAATCTCAGTATTTATAAGACTGCATCAATTTCATTTGCAACAGTAAAATCAGGCTTTAATATCTCAAACTTGAAACAGTTCAAAGCAAGCTGCCATAACTTCAAAATTAAGTTTAGCTAGCTCAAACTCTGAAACAGCAAGTCAAGCTGTCATATGCTCGGAAATGGTTCATCAGTTGATCGTGATCATTTGTCTATGAAGGGGGAAAAACAGTACCGTATTAGTAACATCAAAGACGATAATGGCGGCAGCGGCGCCTCTGTAGTACATCGGAGCCAAGCTGTGGTACCGCTCCTGGCCAGCCGTGTCCCAGATCTCGAACTTCACTGTAGTGTTGTTGACCGACACCGTAGAGGAGAAAAACGCAGCTCCGATAGTTGATTCCTTCAAACAATCAATTATAACCATCATCATCAAAATTACTCAATAACAATCGCCAGACTAAAAAAGAATCGAAAAAAAGATAATAAAAATAAGTCGACAAACTCTCGAAAGTGAAATACTGCATGCGTATAAAATTACTTGAAATTCGTAAAATTGGCCCTTCACGAATCGCACTACTAAGCTCGATTTCCCAGCTCCCATGTCGCCCAATAATACCTGATGATCAAATCCACAAAAAAAAAAAAAAAAAAAAAAAAAAAAAAAAAAAAAGCAATACCATTCCGATGAAAATCCGTACACAGTGTTTGTACAATACATGTAATTGGACTTACGAGTTTAGCATTGAAATTAGTGTGACCGCTCGACGCCATGGGAGGAGAATTAGAGAAGTGTAATTAGGACTCTGTTTATTATTATTTCTTCGTGAAAATGGGGGTTTGAGAGAGAAGAGAAGAGAGAAGAGAGAAGAGACGCGATGATGACAAGACAGAGTGTGAGGGACAGAGGGAGAAAAGCGGAGAATTGAAGAAGAGGCCACCGCTCCCAGAGTCCAGACTAAAGGACAAAAATAATATATTTTGGACAATCCAATTAAATTGGACCACTTTTATCTTGATAATCATAGGCTTTGAATCAATAAAAATAATACACAAAGTTAACAACGTCTCTCCTTAGGCTCAAACTCGATCTCACATGAAAAAAATCACTACATGCCATCTAAGCATGAGATGTTTGACTCTGATTTATTTATTTGTACCTTCTTGTAAGCTTTTATTAGTTAGGTCAAATCTTTGTGTGTTCATTTACCAAATCAAATTATCAATTACGTGATGTAAAATACTTTATGCATATCCTCAAAAAATAGTTATATATATATATATATATATATATATATATATATATATATATTTATCTTTTTTTTTGTATAATGTATAAGTTATTATATATGAATAAAGTTTATTTTAATAATCACGGTGGACTTTTATCATTTAAAAAAAATGTTATATATATTTTTATTTTGTTCTCTCAATTTTTATTTTAACACACAAATTTTTGATGTAAATACTTGTATTAAAATTTACATGAAAAAAATAATTTATCAAAATCTATCATAAATAAATTTCCGGGAATAAGATTAATGAGTACCATATAGTATAACTCTTAAAAAAATATAAATATAAATAAATAATATATTTCCCACTGCTAAAACGTGTAGCGCGCGCGACTATACAAATACAAAACATGCACGGCCTATTGGCACCACATTTATATGTGGGCCCAATTATTAACTGCTACATAACTACATATTAACACAACCCACTTCATTCAATCGTTATACCCTACACCACGGCGCACATAGCACTGTGTGTCGCACGCCTCCCAAAACGACGTCATTTTGGGAGGCGCGGTAGAAAGTTGCTGGAATTATGTGTATTTGTTCACACAGTTATGTGTATTTGTTCATACAATTATGTGTATTGGTTCATACAGTTATGTACATTTTTTATACAATTATGTACATTTTTTTTATACAATTATGTACATCCGAATCAGAAAATTTGTGTGTATTATGTTAATAGTTGATGTGTATTATGTTAAAAGTTTATGTTTATTATGTATTATGTTAGATTATGTGTATTATCTTTTAAAAAGAGTATGTATATTTTGTTATATAATTATGTACATTCATGTATACAATTATGTGTATTCTAGTATAACATTATGTACATTCTTGAACAGCGGGTTTTTTTTAAAGAAAAAACTACTGCCATTCACTGGGGCGGAAAATTTCAAAAAAAAAAAAAAAATTAAAACAACGTCGTTTTGCATCTGGGCGCATAGTGCAACGCGCGCCGTGGTGTAGGATATAAATTGCCCACTTCATTACATTGCATTTGTTTGATAAAATGGTTTATAAAAACAAAAAAAAAAAAACAAATTGGGCCTGTTTGAATATTAGTATAGTAGCTGACAATTAATTTTAAATTTCTAGTTGTTATCAGTTATTATTTTTCTTTTTTTGCAACAAGTTAATTTTCTATTTTTAGTTGTTATTGTTTGTTAAGTCAAAACTCATAAGTATGCATATATTTGATAAATTAATTATTAGTCATAAGTCTGGTCATATTTTCTCTCTAATTTTTTTTCTTCTAGTTTTTATCTTGTAACATGTTTATATAAACTTTTTTTAGTAACCTCTCTATTTAATTAAAGAGCTATAATTTATTTTATGAATAATTTAAAAAGCTAAAAATTACTGTGCACTTTATATTTATTCATAATCTTCTCTAAAAACACATGAAAAAAACGTTGTAATTAGTATGAAATCCCAAAATAACATTGTCAGATCATCATACCAAAAATGGGTTTTAAGTTTTAACTCACTTATAAAACCTTTTAACCAAATTTGCCTTTCCAATAATCCAATAAATTAAAATGCAAATTATTGAGCTCACCCTTTTCCTTCCCCTTGAGGTGGGAAGGACAGAGAGCTTCTCCTTCACTCTCACGCCACAACGTTTATTGTGCTCATTCATTCATCTTGATAACCATGAAAATACAATAAAAGGATTCTTTATCCAGCAAACATTTTCCAAATCAGTGCATTACCTTCAGGAACACTTCTAAAGACTACTTACTACTTATTCATTGATTAAGAAAGAAAAACAACAACTCACATCCTAGAGATCTGGAGAGGAACAGCAGCAGCTTCAAGAAATTCCTCCCTGGAGGAAACAAGTTGCACCATTTCCAGACTACCAAGTTTCTTGATAAGATGGTGGCGACAATTGTCAGCAGCCAGAACTCCAGCAGAATAGGCACCGTGCACGGATCCTTGATGATCCATGCTAACTGCTTCGCCTCCAAAGAAAAGATTCCCTATGGGTGCTCGGAGCCTATCATATATGTCCATTGGCTTGCCAACTGCGTCGTATGAATAACACCCAAGGATGTCAGGATCTGTTCCCCAGTGTGACACGAGGTACTGGACCTGGAGAGAAAACCAAGCCAAACTATCCATCAATCTGACCGTCACAGATATCGTGGAGAGATACAACAATCAGACAACTAAGGAATTTAGGAAATTGGAAGAAAACCTACAAGATGCTAAGTGCAAAATAAAAGCAAAACTTACAGGGTTAGTAGCATCAGGAAACATTTTCTTCAGCTGCAACATTACAAAATCAACTACAGCCTCATCTGATAGCTTCTCAAGGTCAGTCGCAAGGCTTCCTGCAGCCATATAGACGAGAACAGGATTGCCTGTAGCCTTGTGGAGATTGAGAAAATAACCACAAGCGTAAGAAGTGGATGCAACTACACCTAACAATTCCACATTTGGCCAAAAGACATTGTCAAACTGCAATGCAATCTTATTCTCATTGCCTACACCAAGATCTGTTATTGCAGAAACCTTCCATTCAGGCAATTTTGGCTCAAATTCAATCAAGTTTGCTTTGAGAACCCCAATGGGTACGGTTACAATAGCAGCATCAGCAACAAAATTTATTCCATCCTCAACCGTGACCATCACCTTATTATAGCCATTTGTAATCCTTTTAACCCTAGTCATAATTGAAACCACAAAGAATAAATTGCTGAAACTCACTGGAAAGTCAACATCGTAAATTATAAAATCTCAAAATAAGTTATAATTCCCTTTTATCTTCCTTTGTGGATGTACATGATAAAGGATTTCAAACTCCATTATCAAAAGCCATAGAAACAGATTAAGGAAAAAGGGTAAAAACACTAAATAAGGGAAACAAAACTTATCAAGCAAGTTACAATCATAGAAAATTAGAGCAGAAGGTCTGGGAATGCTACATTTTTAATAATATTTCCACATGAGTGGATTTTGCCAAAAATAAAAAATAAAACAAATCTGAACTTCTGATAAGCAACTTGGAAATTTGACTACATATAGAAGATGGTTAACAAATGAAATATAATGATAATAGCTTGATTGAAGTTGGGATATATCACAGCATATAAGTTTAGTAATGCAAAATGTTATAGGAGCAAGACCTTTTTGCTTTAGTCTTTCAGATTTGTGCCAAACAGCAGCAAAGATGACTACCACAAAGGATAGAATTACTCCAAATTCATGTTTAGCAAATTGCAAGCTTACCTATGATTCAAACGTATATCAATATCTTTTGCCAATGCCTTCATCAGGGGATAATAGCCTTGCACCATTAGTCCATGACCACCAGTAAGTACTTGTTCCTGCACACGGAGAACTAACCCAGTTACATGAGCTCTAATGCAGGATGAGAAGTACATAAGTAAGCATCTTCAAATGATTTAACAGTTTGATGTATCAAATATGGACTAGAAGTGTTACAAGCACATGTTCTTGCAGATTGAAATGAAATTCTAAGAAACATCTTTTGGTAGAGCATAGAACATGAAAAAGATGAATACATGAAATAAAATTAGTACTAATATTTTAAGGTCCAAAATAATCATATTAAAAAATTGAAGAGAAGCAATCTACAGTAAACTTATCTGGGATCCAAAAATAATCATGTTAAAACAACTGAAGAGAAACAGCCCACAGTACACTTACCTGGTCCCATGATTTCAGAGATATCATATTTGCATCTGCAGCAAACCATGCCTCCATTCTGCATATGTACCATTGCAGCACTTCATGCGCAAGTCCATCTTGTCTACATTTCAAATAAATATGTAACTAGTTTCATGTATAAAAAAAAAAAAAAAAACAAAACTGACTGTAGTAAAAGCTTTTGTTTGCCATACTTCAGTTCAGGATGCCTGTCCAGTATGATTGATATTGCTTGCCGAATTGACATGTCTTGACTGTATTCATTTCTCACTTTCTCAGTCTGCATGACCCAAAACAAGAATCACCAGCTTTCATACTGCATGTATGAAGTACATAGTTGAAAAATAGTGAAAAGAAAAAACATAAGAAATTCAACTACCTCATCGAGAATTTTCTTGAATGCATCTCCAACTTCAACCACTATCTGTTTAGGAACTTGCTTACCATCCATGCCAAACAGCATGAAACTGCAAATAAATAACGCATAGGACTAATGAATAGCCTTAAATTAGAACTGAAACAGGAAGATTAATTCCCAAAGGCTGTTTTCAGAAATATTATTCTGGAGTCTTTTAACATCTGAAGTTGAATCAAAAGTTAACATATTAATATACAATAGCTAATTCAGCCTAAAACATAGCATAATTTATCATATTATAGCAAAATTGTTGACAATCTAGTGGAGGTAACATATTTGATTGATACTGGAATTCTACATTTCTGCAGAGTTTTGCTTAGATTGCATACACAAGTGGCCACTCAGATTAAGAAAACCCACTGGTGCATCAAACTCTTTCAATTTGCAGATGTATGGATAGTCATTTTACCTCTCCAGATCATGGTCATACAGGACAGAATTGTCACCACTAGTACGATATAAAGTGAGGCCTAAGTGACGAATCATAGGAGCCAACGGATTCTCATTGCACACACCATGTAGCCTGACATAGTTGCAAAGTTAATAATGCATTAATGGA